TTATTTTGGTGCTGTATCACAAAAATGTTTTATTTCCTTGTGGGATCAATAAAGTATCACAAGATATCACCACTTTAAAAGTACTGATTATGTGAAGTGTGTGAGTACTTCTTTCACCACTAAGTGGCACAAGTCATCCATTTTAAATTTTTTAAACCACTTTCATCGGAAGACCAACTAATAATGTCCACTGCCCTCTGTGATGATAGTCTAGGCTTTCCTACTGTGTGTGTAATATTCTAACAATAGTTCATTTTAAGTTTCTGTTTTGATGAACAGAAACCAAGATGTGGAGACTTCCTGCTGATCACACTCTGCAAGAAGTTGTTCAAATGGCTTAAGAAGTAGAGAAGAAGAGAGATGAAAATGAAAAATAAATATAGATTACGTACATAAATCTATGTGTTTTAGAAGAAAAGAGTAGAAAAAAGGTCCTTCGCCTAGGATCACGGTTATGAGTCTTGCATAGAGAAGTATCTATGCAAATGATTGTGATGACAAGTATGCTTGTAATGCAGTATCGTAATCAAGGAGATGGACACATGCCTTCACAGTATTTTTATTGCTTAGAATTAATTATCTGCACTGAAATTGTGCAAAACCACAAATTAAATTAAATTAAAGTAGCAACATAAGTATAAAGTGAGCAAAGTAGCAAAACCAAATTCTGAGCACACCTGTTTGACAAAGAGAAGAATAATTGTGACTCTAAACACTGCGACCTCACTCCTATGTAGTAATTTTTTAAGTTTCTGGGATATTCAGTTCCTGTGCCAGCTAGCTTATCCACCACTAAAACATCCACTCAGTCCATCATGTCAACACAGCAACCAGCACCTTAGCAGTCTGAGCTTGAGCCAGCGGGTCCGGTTCCACCAGGATGTGTTGGACCCAGAGGAGCCAGCACCTGGTTTTCCTAGGCACCTAGAACCAGCACTCAAGGCTTCCATGTTGCAGGAGGCCAAGTCTCTTTGATGGCAGGCTTTGAAGGCTTTCTCTTTTGCCAGCCATCTCTGTCACTGGCCTCCAGATCTACTTTGTCTCTCCCACTGGCCTCGTGGCTGGCCTCCAGACTTCCTTTGTCTGCAGCTACTGGTCTCACCCCTGAGTTTTGCACTGCGGCCTGGGCAGCCTCTTCTAGTTGCCGCGCTGGCCGCCTGAACATTTTGTAGTGAAGGACTGAGTATTTCTTGCTGTTTTATTGTGTTTCAAACCTGTGTCTTGTTTTATGGCCAAGGAGAGCTCCAGGACAATTTTTGTTTTGTTTTGTTTCTGGACTCTGGCTTTTCCTTCAGTCCTGCCACTGCACCATGGTAACTTGTGCTCTTAACCTTGAAAGTGAATCTTGCACATAAATCCAAAATGATTTTAACACAATCTAACATTAGGGAATATTTGTTCAGTTATTGTCCTGTTTTATGATATTAGGCTTTAGTGCCCCTCAGTCAAAGGAAAATAAAATGCTATGTTACATTTACCAACTTCATAGGAACTGTTTTTAGTGTAAACCTCAGAATAATACTCACACAAATAATTCACCAGAAAAAAGTCAGTTTATTTACTACCAGTGTAATCAGTCTAAATGACAAGAGTTTCCACATTAAAAATGCAATTGTGCAAGGACTAAAAAAATTGCTCAAAATGCGGAAGTGAAAGTCTTCTGCATCTATAACTTCTATGGGCGTCATTTATTCACAGGATTTCCTCTTAAGTTTTTATTTCTATGAAGCAAAGCAAAGATGTGGAGCTTTCAAAAGCTGCTGTTGACCATCTGCAGTGAGTTATTTTAATAAGTACATTAGTAAAAAGATGAAGACTAAAGATAAATCTAGATTAATTGTGTACTTAAATACTATTCCTGATTTTTTCTTTTCTTTACAGACCATTAACAATACTAGCTTGAATGTCTAAATGGAAAAAACAAAAAAAACAAAACAATGATCTTTATATTTTCTTTACGTTACAGTTGCTCTGAGGTGTGTGACCAGTGCAGTAGGGGTGATCCATGTGACTGGATATGTGGGGAGTATAGTTAAAGTTTCCTGTTCCTATGATGAAGGTTATGAGTCTTATGAGAAGTACTTGTGTAAGAACGACTGTGGTGACAGTGATGTTCTTATTACAACATCGGAATCAAGGAAAAATAAATACAGGATCCATGATGACAAAACAGCACGAATCTTCACAACAACCATCTCTGATCTTCATTCAGGATGCTGGGAAATACTGGTGTGGAGTGACCAGAACTGGAAAAGATATCTACACTGAAGTCGAGCTGAAATTAGTGCCAGGTAAACAGGGACTTCCAAAAAATGAATTATAGTTGAGTAAAATTCATATATAGAAGATGTTCATGATTGTAGAGCTTAAAGGTGAGAACAGATAAAATGTAACTGGTAAACGATTACTTGACTTTACTTAATTTTATTTATATAGTGCTAGGTCACAAAAACCAGTCTCCTCAAGGTACTTTACATTGTATAGTAAAGACTAGGGATGGGTATCGAAACCCGGTTCTTGTTGAGAACCGGTTCCCACTGTTTCAATTCCTTGGAATTGTTTGGCATTTTTGCAAACAATTCCCTTATCGATTCCAGTCGCCCCGAATGACGTCACCACGTTGCGGAGCTTCATTTACCTGGCAGGAAACACGGCGGCTCAAACGCTCAAAAGTTTGGTTATATGATGAGAGAGACAGACAGAGTCTGGCTCAGATGCTGGCAGTTCTCGCTGCAGTCTACCGGTAGCGTCTCCTTTCAGGCCAGGATAGACGAATGTCACCGAGCAGTGACTAAGTTTGTGGTAAAAGGCTTGAACCCATTTGCCACAGCAGATGCCCCCGATTTTCGGTAAGTGAATGTGTTTAATTGTAGGCAGGGACATTACTGGATATTCTTGTGTAATTGCTACAGAATAATTTATGTTATACTTTGTTATTGCTACAGAAGAATATTTATTTTATTATTTTACATTTACAATTTTTTTTCCTGGAGACCCTGTGAAACCACATTGAAGAGCCGTAGGCTGTGGATCTCTTAAGATCTCACTGTCGGGTTTGTAAGGCCATGTTACTCCTAAATTTCTATCTTGTTCAAAGAGAAGATATAAAACAAAGTTCTAAGCTATTCGACCTTAGTGTTCTCCTTTTTTAAAAAGAATCGATAAGAGAATCGATAAAGAATCGAATCGTTAAACAGAGTCGAAAATGGAATCGGAATCGTGAAAATCTTATCAATACCCATCCCTAGTAAAGACATTATGTCTTTATGACATTCCTACAGTTTAACTAATAATTATGTTTGGTTTGTTTAAAATGTACTTGTTGCAGCATGTTGAATATAAAATATCATATCTCTATTCTCTATTCTTTTCTTTTCGATGCTCTTTACCTTTTTGACAGACAGATGCTGTGACACTGTGACCACAGTCCAAAGTTATGAGGGATACTCTGAGTCCATCAGTTGTCCATATGACTCTCAGTATCAGAACAACTTCAAGTACATCTGCAGAGGAAACCGGCCCTCCACATGTCTGCAGCAGGCACTAATCACCTCTAACAACAGAGAAAATCAAAGATTCAGACTTGATGATGAAAAAATGTTAAGAAAGTTTACAGTGGCCATTAGCAATTTGATTCAAAGTGATTCAGGGTCATACCTCTGTGGTGTCCAAAGAAACTCTGACCTGGATGTTTTCTCTGCTGTTGAGCTGAAGGTCAAAGGTGTGAGGTTATAATTACATAATTACACTAACAAAAAGGAAACAATTTCTTCTAAAAGGCTCTTTAAGAAACTCTTTAAATTATTTGTCTCTTTCAATCTGGCAGAGTGGTGCTGCGTCAAGTCAACTAAAGTAACAGGTACTGCAGGGCATCCATTAACTCTGCAGTGCCCTTATCCTTCACAAAATCACAATAACAGGAAGTTCCTCTGTAAAGGAGACCACCGCAACAGCTGCAGAGACATGGCGATGATTGAAAGCAGACTCACACTACGAGATGATATTTATTCCAGCTCTTTCTCAGTGACGTTCACAAAGATACAAGCGGATGATGCTGGGACATACTGGTGTGGGTCAGACTCACAATGGAGAGTTGGAAACCATGTTAAGATTCAGCTGTCAGTTGGTGAGATGAATACTTGTGTACACAAAAATAAAATGGCCAGAGCTGTAAGTAACATGCTTTTTTGCAGCCCAGTGTGTAAATATAGATTGTGCATGGTTGTTCAGTTTTTATGTAGTGCCAAACATAGAACAAGAGGTTGGTGCAGTCCAGCAACTTACCACAACCAGAGTGAACTACTTTTTAGAAGTCATATTTTTACCCTAACACCAAACTATCATTTGAAGTTTTTAATCTTTATGTAGCTTATTTGTTAAAAATTTTCTAAGATTATCTGGTTAATAAAAGTTTACAAACACTCCAATGCCATTTCTGATTCTGTACTTAGTTATATGAGCTAAAAGTGAATGCTGGATGTTAAAGGTAATTATTAAAGTTCATAGAGCAGAGAGGGGAAAAAACAGGAAAACCAAATATTTATATTCTGTATTTAAATCATTTTAATCAGTGTTCCACCAAACTATATATCTAAATATAAAACCATAGATGTTAAGTGGTCTACTGACTATTTTAATGTATAAATTGACAAACAAAGAATCTGATTTCAGGTAAGTGAATAGTTTAAGAGTGAAAGCCAATCTGGATCTCTCTGAAACTGTTCACTCAATTTAAAATAGATTATTGTATTATGATGAAGTTTCTAAGAACATTGAAAGTCTTTTTCTTCAACAGTGTCTCCACAGCACACCAGCACTGTACCTTCCACAATGGAAATTCCAGGAAAAACTACAACACACAATAAAACTACAACTCAAAATAGACCTAATAAAGGTACAGTGTATACAATGTGTCTTTTAGTGTGTGCTGTACTATTGATCAGTTATGGAGAGATAGCGTACTTTATGGTTACAATTGGAAATAGTTATAGTTTTTTGAGTACAGTTTCAGCAAGTCCCCTGGGAGTGAATGTAGACCATGGTAAAATGAGTGTCAAAACAGCAGAGGGTCTATGTTTTATTAATAGATTAAAAAAATAGATATAAAAAGAAAACTACCATCTGAGCCCACAGTTCAACTTGTCTTAGTGTAAAAAGGAAGTCTGTACTTTTACTGGGTTCTGTTTTGGTTTCTGCTTTTCAGATGCAGGACAGTATGTGGTTTATGCTGTGCCCGCTGTGCTGCTGCTACTGATATGTGCCCTCGTGGTTACAGTTTATCAATGCAAACATCAGAAAGTAAAAGGTATATTTTATGGGCAAATGTACTCAAATGTGCATGCAAAAAGAACACAACCATGTTTTATGCTGTGTGTTTTCAGACGGTAAAGCTGTCATGAACAGAAATGCAGAGAACGAAGAAGGTTTAGAGGAAGTGACGGCTGGTGCAGAAAATAACGTAAGGAAACTAAAGTCCAAAGCCTTAACAGTGTGCTCTATCTATGACAAGTCTCATTATGTACAAACAAGCAATGTTTTATTTTTCTTAAATGAGTTCAGTACAGTACTGTGCAAACGTCTTGAGCTATCCCTCATTTCTTGTAATTTTTGAAAGTTCTTCGGGCTTTCTGAATCTTAAAAGTCTTTAAGAAATCTTCCTCAGACACTGGCTGCTTTTTCCCTCCTTCTCAGTCCAATCCCTTTATCTGACCATTTTCACAGTAAATGTTTTTAATATTATCGTTAAGCCACCGTGAATCACAGAAGCATAAAAAATGCATCAAACTCATGGGGTGAGCCTGTCAAGAAGTCATTCTTAATCGAAGGAAACAGAAAAGGCAGAGGTATGCCAAATTATCCAAGAACTGGACTGACAATCAGTGACTATAAGTCTTATGGGATGATAAATTTTATAAGAAAATTATGAATGTGTTTCAAACTGTCATCAGTAGGTGCAGGGGAGGTACGGAGAGAACAGTACAACAGTACTCTCTGTTGTTGTTTGGGGCTGAATTCAAACAAGTGGTCTTTGGGATCTTATTAACATTGATGGAATTATGAACACAGAAAATCACCATCAGATTTTGATCTATCGTTCAATACCATCTGGAAATAATTCTAACAAAAGGTCATTTGTCAGCATGATAATGATCCCAATCCCAACAATGATCAGGTAGAGTTTCACGATATACCAAATCAGCTTTTATTATTCATGGTTTTTTGTTATTTTACTGATAGCAAACTGATGTTTGAATCCTTCATTCAGATTCATCCACAATGTTACTATTCAGTACTAATATATGATAAAATGGGACGTTATCACATTCAAAATCACCATCATCACTTAAACGCTTTTCTATCTGTTCTTCATTACCATAAAGAAACCGCATGATAGTGATTAGATGACACAAAACTTTGATGCTCATCTTGAAATTGTGGCAGGAATTCTCAAAATGTACGATGGCTGAGTGCCAATTAACCCACATAGACAGATTGGACAAACTTAGTGAGTGAGTAAGCGAACAACCAATGATCAGCAATACTTAACAGTTTTAGGGAGATATAATTAGCTAAGATGTTAAAACAGAAGAGGGAAAAAAAGAGAAGTTCTCCCTTGGTTGGTTTTGCACTTCTGTAG